CCCCAAAACCCCAAAACCCCAAAACCCCTTATCAGAAATTTTCTAGCAGTATAACTAAGAAATAATTTAAAAGTATTTGTCTATAAAGATGTAGTCAATTACGCATAATATTCAAGGTAGTCCAATGGGAAGATTACTTAATTAAGACTTCAGCAATAATTTCTAAAATGACTAGATGATTATTCCGACAATTATCGATAATGACCCTTATCTTTAATTAGTACCTAGTGAATCTCAACCGCTAAATAGTTAGATTTTCGGAATGAACTCTTAAAAACAAGAAATCTTCTACTCCGCTCGGGAATCATTATAGTAAAATAAGTAAATTTCACCCAAGTACTCTCTTCCTTTGAATTTAAGCAAAGTTTCAATGGGACAGTCTCCTTTGGTCTCAAGTGGAAGAGAAGAGAGAATTGTTAACTAAAAAAATCAAATGAATACAAAGAATTTACTACAACAAGCATCACCTCAAACTTAGGTTCAGAACAAAAACCTTGATATGAAATCATAGAAAGCAAGAAAATAGTATTCTGGAAGTAGCAATCAAAGAAATAATTTCAACGGTTAGAAGCTATTATCAAATAACAACTAGAGAAGCTAAGGAGTAAATAAATCTCTGAAAAGTCCTAAAAGTCCTGGAGTCAAAAATATTTTCCAAAGAAATCACTCAAAGAAAATAGTGGAAGAAATTAAATAGTAGAAAATAGAAGAGGAAGAAAAAGTACCAAATGAATACCCACCTAAAAGAGCTTCAGTTGGATTGGGTTATTATTAGACAAATTATTTCTCTCAGATAATTGGTGATCAGATGAAAAATGAGACAGATGTGCTTCCTAATCTGACTTTCGATGAATAAAACATAATTTCAAGTGACTCAATTATTATGCAATAGAAACGTAAGCCTACTCTAATGCCATTTAATTTACCTGGTGATGACCTAGATAATTCAAATAGATTGTAAAAATTTGAAGAGTTAAAGCAAGATATCAAAATAGGTATTGATCAAATTTAGCCTGGCAATAATAAAAAAGATAAAAATAAGCAAAAGGTGAAGCATTAGTAATCTCAACTAAGATAGAATATTTAGTCCACACCTTATATAGATTATTCTTTAATGAATCAATAGGAGTTAATTAAAGAAATAGAGAACTTATAAAAGCTAATGGGCATAAAAGATAAGAAATTGACTAGAGCTGGATAAGAATGCTAAAAACTAAGAAAGGAGAACTAATCACTATAGATAAAATATTAATTTGAGCACAAAAATAACTAAATCTTGTTGAAAAATTTGAATAGAATCCGATAAAATTATTTCTAAAATGGAATCTAAAACTAGGCATTCAATGAAAGAATTGTTAGCGTACCTAATGAGATAACACCAGTTTAAAGTTTCCAATTAAGTCAAAGCAATTTAACATTTACCTAGGAGTTGTAAGGTATAATCGGAAATCGAACTGTAACAAATATTAATAGAGTGGGATAAGTTAGTCATTAGAGAGTCATATAGAATAGGGTACAGAATGTAATGAATCAACCAGATATTGCTGGGAATATTAGTGTAGCAAGTGAACTAAATTAGAGTGGTTCAGGATAACTTGATAACATTTAGAACTTAAACATAATGTAACCGATTACTCGAGTTACTAATGGCGTTAGAAGACATTTAATCATGAATTCAAACAATTAAGGGATAATTGGAAGAAATATTGGTTCTTCAAATTAACATCATGCTCATAGAGGTGGTAATTAGAGAAGGTATTAAAACTAGAATCAAAGCAGATTTGGTCCTAATAATAGAACTGGAAATATGAGAATGAGGCATAACGGCAACGAAGAGGAAGCTTCGCTTTATGAAACTCAATATAATGAAGAGTCAGTATTTATCAACAAGGTTAATGAAATGAACATAAAGACGTCAAGATTTGATCAACCATAGTTGATGATGAGGAATAATAGTGCGATGAATGTAAGAATGGAGGATTTTATTCCAAATGAAGAACCTTTAATAAATGTTCGAGAATTTTGGGCAGGAAATTATAGTCATAGCTATAGAATGAGGATACCTTAAAATTAGTATCAAATGAATGGACCTCAAATTAGAGTGAATAGACCTAATGGTAGATTAAACATTAACCCTAATGTTTAGCATGGAATGTACAGAAGAACAAACTAGAATCTTCATTAACAAATGCTTAATATCAGAGGGTAGGGTAGCATGCATAACATTTTCAATAATCAGAGAAGATTAGGGTAGAACTAAGAATAGGGTATTGGGCATCATAGAAATAGAGGATTTAGTCATGGTCCTCCTTTAAGAGATATTAATGGTGACTCTCAATCTTTAATTGAAGAAGAGGGTTATGAAAATAACAATAATATAATTCTATTTGCAAGTGGCAATGGTAATCACAGATAAATACAGCATCCTCAACCTTAATATCATTCTGATGATAGTTAACTTGACTTTGAGGAAGAGGAAAAGCACCATGCTTTGCCAAGAAATCATTAAATGTTCTTATAGAATTACAGTTTCAATAATATAAATTAGAATAATATGGGTCCTATGATCCCTGGATTGGGAATCCATGCATAATTCTCAGTTGATGATGGTGGTATGGACGAATATGATGTTGCTGATGAGAGGGCACATTTATTTGAGTATATTAATCCTGATAATATGACTTATGAAGAATTACTTGCTCTTTAAGAAAGAATAGGATATGTTAGTAAAGGTCTCAGTAGAGAACAGATAAATAAATTTCCTAGACTGCGTAAGAAAGATGTTATGCAATTGATAGAAGCAAGATAAAGATAAGGATCACGAAACTTTGATTTCATAAACTAATCTGAGGAACTTATGAAACTGATACTCAAAAATCCTCTTGAGGAGTCAAAGAAAACTACTAAAAAGAGAACTACAAATATGCTATAGTCTAGAAGATCTGGGAACATTATGAATCATCATCTTCTAGTTGGAGATGAAGACTTGGATGAAGTTGTAGATGGGGATGAGGGAGTCATAAATAGAAGATTACCACTAAACTCTTACAATCATCAAACTTAGGTTGCTTAAAATATTCAAAGACTCAATAGAGGAAATGCAAGACTTAGAGTCATCAACGACGAAGAAGAGGGTTGTGAAAACTGTAATGAAGAAGATGAGGAAAGAAAAGATGCAGATCTTATTGGATCTTCACTAAAAAGATAGGTGATCAAAGAAAGAGAACTTTTGCTGGATCAAATAAATTAATCACAAGCTGATGATAGTCAAGGAAATAACTTAGAAGATTAGCTACATCAATCATAGGTTATCAGCTAAAGTTCCAGTAACTAAGAAAGATGCGCAATTTGCTTTGATGGTATGAAGAATAATGACATTGTTAAATTGTTAACATGTCTTCACTACTACCATAATGATTGTATCGATCAATGGCTTCTTGTTGAGAAGAAATGCCCTATGTGTATGATGTACTTAGATAACAATAATCAAGATCGATGAGTAATCATATTGTATGAGTTTTAAAAATCATAACTAACTTCAACAATTTAATCAGAAATCTAATTTAGATAAAGATCATTAAATTTATATATCTTTTTAGAAATTTCCTCTGACGGGGTTTTGGGGTTTTGGGG